GCACTTTTCTGCATCAGATGCGAACAAATGCTATGGGCATTGTGGCCCGAAAGGGACATACGCAAGTGAGCTGCTACTTGCCGCTTAGCGAGAACAACACATCATTTCCCAAAAAGTTCAAGTCTACAGCTCCAACCAAAATACCAGAGAGCTCCCCTTCACCGCACCCCCAAAACATATGGGGAATGAACCACTAACCCCTGGTACCCCGCGTTCTATATGTGGCTGCGACCCTGGATGCAACCACTTTGCCCTTGGGGGGCTGTGGACCAAATCCGCTGCTCATCCGCACCAGTCACGTTGATCCAAGTTTGGAGGGCTTCATCCATGCCAACTGTCTAGAAAACGGTTTGGATGTGCCTTTTGTGGTTCCCCTGTAGAAGGTTAAAAGAGTACTAAAAGATTACTAAAAAAGGACCAAGAGGGGGAAAGAACAGGTGAAATCCACAAAACGGTTTCTAGAAACTGCTGCGGTTTGTGGATTTCCATCCACAGCAGCAGGGAACATCCCGGTTGGAAATGGATAGCGGGAAACCGGCCAACCGGAGTGACTCGGGTTTCCATCCGCACAAAAAATGTCCTGGTTGGAAATGGAGAACAGGAAACCGCGGGAAACCGGCCAACCAAAATCACTCGGGCGCTTGCTTTTTGTGCGGCCGGTGAGTCAGTGAACTGGGCTCCAGCCACTTTTGGACGCTACGGTCACCTCCGATTGCGGATCCGCTTAAAATCAAAGTATTTCCAGTAGTGATAGATTCCTTTTGCAGCCAAAAACAACATATGTCCGGTCGATTCCCTGTATAACAATGTTCAGTGATCCATTCCCTTTACAAACCGGGGTTTGATAAGAATAGATTCCCTGTACAAAAACAAAAACAAAAACAACACACAAACAACACAAAACAAAAAACAAAAAACAAAAACAAAAACAAAAAAACAGGGACATGATAATAGATATTACAACCAACCGGGAGTAACTAAGAACATATTGGCCATGGGTCAAACCCCAGTGAACATCCCAACCCCCACTAAAATAGGTTCTAAAATGGGCGGTGAATTGACCTACCCCCAACATGGGATCAAAGCCAAAACGGTTTTGACCAACACAGCCCATTTTTTCATCAGCACGGGATTTCTTGGGTGAAGCTTCTGGCGCATCTGGGCGAAGAAGTGCAGGGCTGTGGGCCAATGTCCGCCCTTCTCGCAGGAGCTCATGGTGGAGTTGTAGGTGATCAGGTCGGGCGTAATCCTTGCCCAAAGGAGTTGGAAATAAAAGGTGATCACCTTTTGGTAGCTCCACTAAAAATGGACCAAGGGAAACCAAAAGGTTAAAAGGTCGATTCGCTTTGGGCAACTGAGCATCCTGAGGGACCCGATAGGGGTACCTTCCATTTCCATTCTTTCCTGGGATCCGAATCGTTCTAGAAAAACCTCCTTTGAAACCCAGGGAAACGGATCCGGCTTTTGGAAAGAAGGATGGTTGAAAAGAATGGGGAATCGAGAAAAACCAGAACAAGGACTCCCTCAGCAAAAAAGGACACCTTGCTCCACTAGGTTTTCCAGTAGAGAGGTTAGAATAAGTTGGTACCCGATTGTTTTTCTGTAGTCTATTTTAGTAGGGGAACCCTCGCAACCAAAAACGGGTGAGAAAGGGCACTACTGGGGATCTAGCTATGCTCGCTTGCCCATTGGACCCAGAAATAAAAGGTGATCACCTTTTGGGGACATGACCAAACATGGATCGAAGTTTGGAAAACCAACAGGTTAAAAGGCCGATTCGCTTTGGGCAACTGAGTATGTGGCCAATTTTTTGGGGAGTCAGTCTTTTGTGGAGGGCACCTTTGTTTTGAGCTTTTAATAGCGGAGGTCGTAGCGACTTAAGTGGCTTGGCATCTCGAGGGTGGGGGTGGGGTCTGACAAACTCCTGGGCCCTTCGGTCAGGGTCCCTTGAAAGCCCCTGCGCGCTGAAAAAAAATCCTAACGCCCAAAACAGGGCCATCAACACCCAAACGCCACGAACCCCGAAAAATACTCCAAGTGGTACAAGCCATCCAGCATGAGGCTTGGGTTACCATCCCAACTCACCTCTGCCAGGAGCTTTCCCAAACCTGAAGTTCAAACCCCATGGCGTTGAATCGTTTGAGCTGTGAAGATTGGTCACAGCCACCCCGTAGGGAAGTAAGGAGTCGCACTTCTGCCTAGTGATGCGCAAATTCGGCTTTGGAGGAGTCAGCACTTGAGAGTCCAAAACAAAAACAAACACCCGGGTGAATTGGCGAACCGATTGGCCGAAGATCATTTTTCTCGCCGCTCTGGCGCAAGGAGCGTCTTCTCATGATTCCAGGCCCTGACACAAGGGATCCGCAAAGCGACCTTCATCACAAGCTCGGTCCGGATCGTTGAAGCTGGGTCTGTCTCTAAATGTGGGAACTGCAAACAACCGGGGTGGTTTCCCATTGAATTCCTCAGGCAAAAAACGGACACCTTGTTCCACTAGGTCCTGCAGTAGAGAGGTTAGAATAAGGGTACCAACTTTTTTCTGTAATTAGTCTATTTAGTAGGGGACCCTCCCAACCAAAAAAGTTGGTGAGAAAGGGCACCTAGCTGGGGGACCTAGTCCAAGCGTCTCATGGTACTGCATGCTGTTGAAGAGGTTTAATGCCAGCTGCCATTTTCCCAGCTTCTCCAGTGCGCTGATCGTCGCATTGTAGCTCACCACACCTCACCCCCCGGCCAAAGCATGGAGCATGCATGTCAACAGTGCCCAAAACCCACCTTTTGGTTCTGCAAAGACCCAAAAACCAAACGAAGCTCCATCTTTTGGTTCTTTTGGTTCATCAACTAATTGGTTCTACTACCCATCTATTGGTTACATACGATTTCCAATATCGGACTCGTTGTCACCTTTATGAAGCCACAATAGAACCTGGGACCAATATGGCCGCTGACGCTACGTATGGGAACGCGCACTATGGTCAAGGGTGTTGGTTTTGGGTAGGCCATATCGGCTGAGTATTGTCGGGTGTTCATATTGGTCTGTCAATTCGGTTGACGGACACCAGAAGGGAGCCGTCCATTGGGCCATCCGGAGTCAAGCAGAGGTCAAAATGACTTCTTCAAAATGACTTCTCCACCTCTCAGTTTGCATAGCAAAGTCTTCCGGGCTCCGTCCACGTTTTTTTTCCTTTTCTTTTTTTTCTCCGGGCGCGTCCACGTCCTTGGCAACTTCACCATGCAAGCTCAAGGATCCCGGGCTTGAAGGTCAACACCAAAGGGAAGCCATCATGTGGCCATGGGTCAAAAGCCCAAATCGGTTAGCCCCCAGCGAACATCAACCAATCCAACCACTAAAATAGGTTCTAAACTGGGTGGTGAATTCACCTACCCCAAAATGGCACCATTGGCTTTGCCCCACAGCCATGGAAGTCTATATGGTTGATTCTTTTGAGTTGGTACCCTTTTGGGGTTGGCTCGCAGGAAGGCCAAAAGGACAAACCACCATTTGTTGGGTCCCCCGATTTAGACGCCTGCCCACATGAGAGACAAACCTTGCATGTTTCTTTTGCCCACAAAGCTGAAGGTCCGACCAAACACAAGCGAGCACCCAATCAACAAGAACAACTATCACACATAGCAAAATACGCCAAAGAAGGTTAACCAGAACAGCCACCAAAGACCCAGCAACCGGACTTCCGCACACAAATAGTTCCACCAGCTCCGTTTTTTCAAAGCCGAGACACTCGGGCGAACTTCTGCCCGGATCATCACTGAGAAGAGCTGCAGCGCATCAGCCCAACGTGAAGCCTTCTCACAAGCACTGATGGCTGCGCTGTAGCTGAAACTCAGCTCAAGTTTGGAACGACGTCGGGCGTTCGGTTTATGTGAAATTCGATGTTGGTATCCCATCGAAAATGAGGGTTTGCACGAATCATTGGCGGGGAATGAGTTTGGAGATGTTGCACGGATCTGACAAAAACGCTTCTGGATGCACATTAGAACAAAGCAAGTGCGGAAGTTCCTGGAATATGTTCCTTTCCAAGACCGTCTTTGCATCGCGCAACTCAGTAACTCACCACAAATGGTCTTTGAGGCGTGGGGTCATAAGTCGACAGGTTCCAAATTGGTTAACAGCTATGAACCCAGCCATGTTGGAACCGCTCTTCGGCTGGTGTCCCACTGGTTCACCAACCAATAAGCTAGAGGTTCAAAAAGCCGCGGGGAGAGCAACCGAGTGCAAACTAGGGAAAGTAGGGCAAACTCATGGATTTGGAAGATTCAGATGCCTTTAAGGTAGCAACCCGGCCTGATTTTGGCGAGCCATTGCCATTTCGGAAGCCCCCATTAGCTGCCTCCCTTGCACGCAAAAGCCCCTGGATAACAATGAACCATGGCCAGCTAAGAAGCCAAGGCCACCTCACCAGACAAACCTTGCAGGTTTCCGACTAGGATCGAACCAGAAGGCACCGTTCAGAGCAAACCTTTCTCCGAAGGACAAACCCGAGCCCAAGGATTTGCGTTTTCGCTTGCAAGGTAGACTTAAACCCAGTGGTTGGTCTTCCTCAAAGAAGGCCGGGTGGAGCTTTAACCTAGATTTTGTTTGGGAACATGACTAGTTTCCCATGTACCCGAACAAGTGAAGCTTTGTGGGCAGGAGGCAACAGCCACCAAGCGCAAGTTTTCATGCTTACAGGGGGAGATCCCTGGATCCCTCGGACGTGGAGGATTGAGATTTTCAGGAATCTCTCACATTGGGAAACATGATTGAAACTTTGCATACGCACCATCCGGGCGGTTTTAATCGGGCAATAAATTGACGGAAGCGAGGATTCTTTAGTTCATCCGGACCACTTCAATTCACAAGTCCTGAGGCAAACAAACCTCAAGCAAGGACCCCTCATGGGCGAGCTTTTTTCTAAAGGTGAGCTGATTGCAATTTGCGAAGGATAACATGGTGCGACCCCATGGCACTAACTTGACATGGGTAGCCTCAAACAACACACTCACACATTTCGTTCCGATCGAAGCGGCACGTTGGCTTGAATCCTCCCAGCCCGCATGCAGGTGAAGAGGTCCAGAGCCTGAAATTTGCCCCCGCCGCCTTCGAATTGACAAAGGCCATGCATGGCCTTAAGGGCCTTAAAAGCTTCCATTTGCTTAAGAACAAGTCCGGTAGTGATAGATTCCCTCCAAAGCCAGCAAGGCAAAATCAACAATGTTCTTGAGCAAATGGATGAAAGAGGAAATCTAAGACCCAACATGATGTTCCATGCTTCCATTTAACTCCTGGTTGCCCCTTCGTTTGCCTCTCTGACAAAGTTGACATTACACGAGGGTAAAAAGTGATGGCACTAGTCACTGTACATGGGATGATAAAACCTGAAGGGGAAGGTTGTGCAATCTATTTGCACCCAACAGTGATTTGCCTGCATGTTTTGTTGTGAACAGCTCTTCCGAAACCCCAAGAGAACCCCCATCAGCACATCTCGAGAACCAAAGCCACTCAAAAGAGACCGGCCATTGCATCCAGTAATGTTGACCCAGCGCTTTGCTGGCAAACGCACCTGGATCAAAATCCGCCAGTTCCATATAATTCTGCAATTCCCCCCCAAAAAACAAACACACACACAATAAAAACGACCTGAAGAAAATCGGATCCAAGTACCCGGAAACGTATCTTCAGCTCGTTTTATAATGTTGACCCCCGGAAAAATCAACCAACCAGTTTATTAATACGGGGGTGTCCCTGGGCGAAATGTGGTTGGAATCAGACCACTTTTGGAGGGGCCAAATAAATTGGTTGGTTGATTAATCTGGGCTGTCCTCAGATCCCCCGCAAAAAATGTTCCACTTTTAGCGGGTTAAATGGAAATCCAACCACTACACACCACACTCTTAAAAGTTAAGGGAACGGCTGGGAATGGCTGGGACCCAGGGCGGCAACATGAGTTCCCAGACAGGTCGAGGAGTTTCTTTTTTTGTCCGGAGAACAACTAGGTCCTCCAGATTTGAGAGGTTAGAATAAGCTGGTACCCGTTTTTTTTCCTCTAGTCTATTTTAGTAGGGTTGAACCCAAAACCAACCAAAAAAGGGGAGGCAGAAGGGCACCTAGCCGGGGGAGCTATGCTCGCCCACAGGACCCAGAAATAAAAGGTGATCACCTTTTGGGGCTATGACTAAAAAATGGATCGAAGTTTGGAAAGCCAAAAGGTGAAAAGAGTAAACGGGCACCTAGCTGGGGGACGTAGACAACAACCGGGCGCCTGCATCCATTGGGTGCCCTTCTCGCAGGCCGTGATAGTTGCGCTGTAGCTGTAGACGTTGGGCTCTACTCGGAGAGACGGCAGGGACCTTCCGGGGAAATTGTTGTCGAGTTGAGATGTGTGGAAAAAAAACCGGGGAAATCGTCGAGTCGAGTCGCGAAAAAGCAGAGGAAAAAAGAAAGGGGGGCAGCTTATAGGGCGTTTTGCATTTTTGAGGTATGCCAGACCTTCCGTTGACCCAAGAATACGCTTTCAACAGGGGCGAGGGTGTGTGTAGAGGGGTCGATGCAGTATAGCGGAGGCAATGGAAGGTCTGGGGTTTTGGAGGCATGGGTCTTGTGTACCACAAGGAACCGGTTCAGCATCCCTAGATCCATGAACGCCCAGGGTCAACTTAGGAAGTCATCCAGTCTCATGGGCTCTCCAAACTGATCCCAGGCTAATCCCCTGCAAGTCTAACGTTTAGCTGGTCAGATGCAAACTACCACTAAACCAACCAAACACGACTAAACACAACTAACAACTAAAAACAACTAAAAAGCAACTAAATAAAAACTAAACAACAAAGAAAGCATGGTACTAATATTGAAACCCCTGATGTTTGAGTTGCGGATGAAATCACTGGGCATGACAGCCCCTTTTTGGCCGAAGAAGGAAAATAGCCTGCAGTTAGTTGAGTGGGTTATGAGCCCAACGTTTTTCCTGTAGGCCCTCCTAAGGGCACGCCATGGCATCCTCGGCTGGGTCGGCGCAGACCGCTGACTCGCCGGAGACGGCGATGGTGCCGTGGCAGCCAAGCCGCGAGGACGCGGTGCCGCTGGGGCCGGCGGTGGCGGTGAATCCTTTTTGGTCAGAGAAGGCCAAGGAGGAAGCGCAGCTCAAGGCGCTTCGCCCGAAGGATCTGCCGGAGGTGGAGGAGGAACAAGGGTCGCTGGTAAGCCCGGGAGCGCTGCCGGTGGGCTCGATCTACAGCGCGGAGATCCCGGCGGGTGGCCTTGATGAGCTCCTCGGTGCCTTCAAGCAGGTCATCACGCAGAACCAGGCGCTCTGGCAAGAGATGAAAAGCCTCAAGGAGCAGGTGCGTGAAGGCGGTGGAAGCAAGGCCATGAAGGAGTTGGGGGATGCACCACGTGGTCCTGAGATGGGGCCTGGGGTGGACGCGCCTCGTGCTGCTCCGGGAGGTGGTGATCTGTTGGGTCTTCCGGGAGGAGGTGGAGTTGGCGGACCTTTGGTGCTGCGAGCAAGACAAGGAGGACCTGGAGATCAGAGCGGGTACCAAACCCCAACGGCGCTGGCGGGAGCCTATGGTGGTGCACCGCCTGGAGGAGGACCTCGGGAGCGTCGAGCAGATGATGGTCCTGGAGGGCTTCATCCTGAACAACCTCAAGGGGGAGAACCTGGTCGTGGAGGTGCGCATCGCGGAGGTGGGCAAGGACCAGGAGATCCTTCTGAAGGAGCGCTACTACCTGGCTATGGAAACGGGTGGGTCACTGGACGTCAGGATGCGGGTCTTCGAGGTGAGGGCCAGCCACCTGGGCACGAAGGAGGTGGGTTTGGTGCGGCTGGTCGTCATGCAGATCAGCATCTACCCGGCGGAGGGTTTCATGGAGGGTGGCCCTATGGCGCTGGTGGACCCGGAGGTCCCGGTGGAAGTGCGGCGGCCATGAATCCGTGGATGGGAGGATGGACGCCTGGAGAAACCGTTCGCACGGTGGAGTTGCCGGCATTGGGTGAGGTGAAGGAAGGCGAGCTCGGGTCATTGGTGGTGGGGGATTGGCTGATGTTGATCAGCCCGGTGATGAAGGACCTCACTGTCAGTTCCGGAGCATGGTGGGACCAGGTGCTTGCAGTGGCGGCAGAGGCCTACGCGCAGTGGTTGCAGGCGGATCCTTTGCAGCGGCTTCACATCAGGCCGCGGGCGGTGGAAGATGAAGGTGGTCGTTGGAGTCGGGTGGCTCAGCGGGCACAGGCCATGTTGGTGGCTGCTTTGCCACCAGGGTTGAAAGCGGAGGTGCTTGCGGAGCGAGCTGCAACGGCCTGGGAGATTCTGTTCCGGGTGTTTACAAGGTACCAGCCAGGAGGGCTGGCGGAGAGATCACAACTCCTCAGAGGCTTGGTTGAGCCGCGGGTGCCAACGACGCTGAGTGAGGTGGTGGATGGGGTGAGGACGTGGAAAAGGTGGCTTGCCCGGACCCGTGAGCTGAAGGTGGCGATTCCGGATGCTACGTTGCTGGTTGGAGCCCTGGATCGGTTCGTCGGGATGGTCACGAAGCATTCTGGCCAGGCGATGTTCAGATTGAATGCGGCACGAGCTGGACTGCGGGTGGACGTGGCTCCCAGTTTGGAGGCGGTGGCGCAGCTGGCGGACGTCGTCCTGGCGGAAGGAGAAGCAGCACTACACGGAGCTTCGACCTCATCTACTACAACCGCAAAGGTCAAGGCGCTGGTGACCAAGGATGGAGGAGGTTGGGAAAAGGGGAAGGACAGCCCAAAAGGAGGAGGGAAAGGCAAGGGCAAGGATGCTTCGGCGGCTCCTGTGTGCCGGTTCTTCCTCACGGATGGGGGCTGCAAGAAGGGAGCGGATTGCACCTACAAGCATGAGTTCGACGGGGACAAGCGTGGACGCTGTTGGAATTGCGGAGGGACTTCGCATACCCGCAAGGACTGCCCGGTGAAGGTGCGAAAGCCTCGCGATGGAGATGGCGGAGCCAAGAACTTCAGCGAGAACGATGTGAAGGGCCAGGCCGTGAAGAAGGTCGAGGTGGATGCATCGGCGCCTACTACCGGTGGAGGAGAAGGATCGCCCGCGTCAGGGGCAGGGAAGACATCACAGTCAGATGGAAGTGATGGTGAAGCAGTGCGGGGACTCATTCAGGAAGCAGCGGGATTGCTGAAGAGCTTGAGGGGCCCTGAGTTGAGGAGGATTCAAGTGAGCTCCCTGGAGGTTAAGAACAAGAGGGCGCTGCTGGATGGAGGAGCGACGCACAGCCTGAGGCAGTGTGTATCTGCACAAGAGTGGGAGGAGGCTCGGGAGGTCGAGGTGCATTTGGCGCAGGGGACGGTCTCTTTGCGGCTCATCCCGTGGACGAGGACGTTGCTGACCACAGAGGAGGTCCAGCCCATCGTTCCCCTGGGGTACCTGGTGCAGAGGGGCTACTCGGTGAAGTGGGAAGAGGACCGCTTTCAGCTGACCGATCAGCATGGGCGGACTCTGGACACCGCTTTGGAAGGAGGCTGCCCCACGGTAGATGAAAGCCTCGGGTTGGAGCTCATCAAGGAGTTGGAGCTGGAGGCGCTGAAGCACCAGATGCGGTTGATGGCGTTGAGAGGGAAGCCGTTGACGACGCAGGAGGAGGAGAAGGTTGGCCTGGAGATGGTCAAATGGCTTCGGAGGCTGAGGGAGCTATTTCCTGAAGTGCCGGAACGCATTCTGGAGCGGCTGCCCCCGAGGTCGGAGTGGACGAGTTTGCCGTGGAATAGGCGGACCAGGAGGAGGATTCAGAAGGCCAAGGAGGTCATCCTCCACCTTTATTCGGGCCCGGACGCGAAGTTCTGGGAGAAGGAGTTGGAGACAGCAGACAGAGTGGTGCTTTGCATTGATCTGGAGCTGGGAGAAGGCCAGGACGTTGGGAAGGACGGCGTGATGGCCTATCTGATGGAGCTGTGTGCTTCGGGAAAGGTGAAGCAGATCTTGGCGGGCCCTCCGTGTCGGACTATCTCAAGGATGAGGTTTGTGCAGCCGGGACCGCCACCGTTAAGGACGAGAGATGGAGAAGAGCGCTTTGGGCGTCATGGACTTCCTCAGGTGCTGATGGACAAGGTGGATGGAGATACGGTGCTCTGGTTGAGGCCGATGCTGCTGTACATGGTGGCGGAGGAGGCCAGTTCGTCCAAGGTTGGCTTCCTGGCGGAGAATCCACAGGATCCGGAGTCCTATGTGGAAGGAGGTCAAAGAGCCGCAGAAGCTCGGGAGCGGTATCCTTCGTACTGGGCTTGGGACGAGTGGAAACGGTTCAAGAAGGCCTACAAGATGAAGGAGTACCACTTCGATCAGGGGCCCTTTGGCCACGCAAAGACGAAGCCTACGACGATAGGCACCAACATGGAGATGCTCGAGCAGCTGGACGGTGTTCGAGGAGGAGGATCTGATAAAGGTCCGCTGGGAAAGACCTTGGAGGAGCGGATGGCGGCTTCGAAGAAATGGGCTGCCTGGGCGCCAGGGATGAAGAAGGCGATTGCCACGGCCGTTCGCATAGGCTTGGAGCAGGTGAAGCTGAAGGGGCTGAGTGCCGAGCAATGGAAGGCGCACTTGGCGAATGACCACCTCCCGTTTCATCGGGGATGCCGCACGTGCCTGGAAGGAGCCGGAAAGGCGCGATACCACCGAAGGGTAGTGAGCCCGGAGAGCTACACGCTGGCGGTTGACCTGGCGGGGCCCTTCAAACCTGGACGAGATCAAGAAGGTGTGGGACGATACATCGTCGTTGGCACCTACACGGTTCCGGTGACCCGGCAGGGACGAATGCTCATGCACTTGGCCCCGGAGCATCTGGCGTGGCTGGAAGGTCCTGGTCGAGGAGACGTACCGGAGGCGGTGAAGGAGATGAAGAGGTGGAGGAAACGGGACTACGACGTCAAGAAGTTGAGGGGCACGGGAGCAGGCGGACCGGCATGGAAGTTCGTAAAGTGGAGGCTCTCAGTGGACCTGGACACTCATGAGATCTTGGAGTCCAAGAGCATGGTCGGAGAAGATCAGAAGGCGATGCAGACGGAGATCGACAAGCAGCGAAACCTCTTCACGGTGCTCTACTACCAGGAGGAGGAAGGGGACTTGGAGGGACCGCGTGGGGAGGAGGACATGGAGCTTGACCCTGCGGGAGACGATGAAGCAGTTGAGGAGGAAGAGGAGCCATCTCCAGATGATGGGGAAGAGTGGCTGAAGAAGATAGAGAAAGAAGAGGACTTTGAGGTCCGGCAGCTCACGCTGGTGGAGATCGTGAAGACGAGAGGAGAAGCTCTGGAGGCCGTGGCCAAGATGACCACAAAGCTACGCTATCATGGACTACCTGTCCGGCGCCTTCACAGCGATAGAGCAGGCGAGTTCACGTCCAAGAGGGCCAAGAAATGGGCTATGGAACGCCTCATCATGCGGACGTTCACTGACGGCAGCTCATGGAAGATGAATGGGCGGGCCGAGGCGGAGGTGGGGTTCATCAAGAGGCTGACCAAGACGCTGCTCAAGGGCTCGGGCGTGGAGGAGAATCTATGGCCGTTGGCGGCACGGCATGCTGGGGAACGAAGATGGAGGTCGCAGCTGGAGGCCATGAACTATCCGGTCAAGCCGTTGAGGGCGTTCGGGAGTGTGGCAATGGCGAAGACCAAGGCATGGAATCACCGGTCCAAGGATTGGGAGGCCACCAGGGAGGAGGTGACCATCTTGGGGCCGGATGTTACTATGTCGGCGTCTTCGGGAGGGTACTTCGTCCAGGGGGAGGATGGGAACTTCTTCCACACCACGGATGTGATTGAGACGGAGGAACCGCCTGAAGAGGAAGGGCCACTTGCTGGTGGTGCTGGAGCAGAAGATGGATGGCCAGGAGGAGGTGGTCCACGGAGGAGGATTACATCCAAGAGGCCGCCTGCGTTGGAAGATCGAGAATGGGAGCCAGACCTGAGGACCTTGGTGATGGAATGTCAGGCCCGGGGGAGGCACATGATGGAGGAGGAATGGCGTCTAGAAGAGGAACAAGGCGCTGACCACGACATGGTGAAGACGACCGTCGGGATGCTGGCGGAGGAGGACGCTCGAGTGGGGGCATGGTTGGCGGCAATGCAGAGGGCTGAGGATCTTGACTCTGAGGAGACCTGTGCGAGAAAGGCAACAGAAGAAGAGGTCTTTCTTCAGACCAAGACCTACGCCTTGGCAGATGTGAGGAAAGAAGTGGAGAAGTGGAGGCCTTCTATGGTAGAAGAGAGGGCGGCTTTGCTGAACTCGGGCGTGATCCGGGCCATCAATCAGCGGGAAGCCGAGGCGCTCAAGAAGGAGGCGCTGGAGAAGGGCATACCGTACGACCGGGTTCCGGGGAAAGCGGTGTTCACAAGGAAAGCTGCTACAGGACGTCGGAAATGCCGTGGGGTCGCCTGTGGAAACTTCATGTCGGAGAGGCCTGCGGCGGATACCTACGCTGGAGGCATTGACGCGTCTCAAGTGAGGGCGATGGTGGCGGCTGGAGCGCAGCGAGGATGGACTCTTGCGGGGGTCGATGTGAAGACGGCGTTCTTGCAAGTGCCGCCGGGCCGGTCCAAGGACATTGTAGTGGTCAACCCTCCCACCATCTTTCAGGAGTGCCAGATCACTGAGCCGGGAGAGCTTTGGGCGGTGGAGGGATCCGTTTACGGCCTTACGACGTCACCCAAGGACTGGGCGAACCACCGGGACGAAACCATGGGCGCGATCAACTGGGAGATGGAAGATGACGAGGGCACATGGGCTTGCTGGTTCGAGAAAACCAAGGAGGTGAATCTGTGGAGGATCAAGAGCAGTCGGCACGGACAAGATGAGACGGTGGGCTACATGGCGGTCTACATCGACGACCTGTTGATCACTGGAGATCGCGGGGCGGTGGCGGCGACGCTGCTCAAGATCCGGCGGGTTTGGGACACCAGCGACCCGGAGTGGCTGTCGGAGACAGAGGACCTGCGGTTTTGCGGGTTCGAATTCTCTCATGATGAGCAAGGGATCCGGATGCATCAGGAGTCCTACACGGCAGACCTACTGGACCGGCATCACATCGCCAAGGGTGGCACGCTGGGAGGAGTGGGGATTCCGGAGGAGGAAGGGCCCCCGAGTCCTGAAGATGTGCGGCAGGCGCAAGTCATCACTGGAGAGCTGTTGTGGCTTTCTTCGAGGACGAGGCCGGACATCACCTACGCGGTAGCCGTGATGGGACAGTGGACTACGAAGAGACCTCGGGGGGTCACGAGGATTGGAGAGAAGGTGCTGCAGTACCTGTGGAGGACGTCACGGGAAGGTTTGCGGTACCAACGTCTTGGTGCTGGAGATTATGGGCCGGACCATCAACAGCATCGTGAACGTCGACGAGATGCAGTGGAGGCCTACGCGGATGCTTCTTTTGGAGCCCATGAGCACAAGTCGATCTCGGGATTGGCCGTGTACTACTCCGGCTGCCCCGTCTTCTGGGCTACGACGCGACAGGCGTGTATTGCGCTTAGTACGGCGGAAAGCGAGCTGGCGGCGCTCATTGAAGCCTGGACGGCTTTGAGGGGAGTTGGTGGCTTGGTGGAGGAACTGGAGGAGAAGCCCGCGGAGCTTAGGCTCTACAGCGACAGTAGTGCGGCCCTGGCCATTGTCAACGGGAGCTCGGGAAGCTGGAGGACGAGACATTTGAGGATCCGGGCTGCGGCGCTTTCGGAGGCGGTCAAGCTCGGTGATGTCCAGCTTCAACATGTTCCTGGGCAGAGTCTGGTCGCGGACGGCTTCACGAAACAGCTTGGGGCCTCGCCGTTTGGGCGCTTCAAGGAGTCATTGGGCTTCTATGGTGGGGCGGTGGAGAGCGGTGAGAGCCCGGTGGAGGTTGTCAAGGTGAAGAAGATGGAAAGCAGTCGAGACAGGAGGTTGGAGAAAGTCCTGGGATTGCTGGTGGTGGCCTCTACATGCGTGGAGCTGACGGAGGCGAAGGAGATGGACCTTGGAGAAGAAGGAGGTGGCTACTGGTGGCTGGTGGTGATCGTCGCTGTGGTCATCTTGCTGAAGCTGGTCAAGGAGCTTGGAGTGGTGGCACTGCGGAACTGCTTGCGAAAAGAGGAAGAGCTGCGGTTCCAGAGAACCTGTGCAGAAGCGGTGATGCCGGAAAGGCCAACGGAGAGCTCAGCCGGGGTGAACCTTTTCGCGGTAAACAGAGTGGTGGTGCCGGCGGAGAGCTACACGCTGGTGAGGACGGGCGTGAAGGCACAGTTACCCCGAGGAACGTGCGGGAGGATCACAACGGTGGCCAGCTTGGCTTTGAGAGGAGTTGAAACGGGATCCGCTGTCATTGAACGCGACTTCCGTGGAGAGGTGAGGATTTTGGTCAGGAACCATGGACCCCAGGACTACGTCATCGAGCCGGAAGAGGCGGTAGCGCAATTGGTGCTGGAGAAGGTTTCCCTGGCCAAGATCAAGGAGGTGAAGGAGTTAGACGGGCCTGTGAAGAAGCAGACAGAGGAGGTTGGTCCTTCGGTGAGATCGTTGGTGGTCGAGAAGGCGGGTGCTTCGTCAGGGAGATCGTCTATGAATTGGATGACGCCGGAGGTGAAAGGCTTTGGGAATGTGGGTGAGGGGTTGCGGCTGCGAAAGGTTGCACCAGCCGGTGGTGGAGATGGTCCTCCGGAGGTGACAGAAAGGCCATCGCAGGATGAACCTGGTGAAGATGAATGGGAGGTCGAGTTCCGCGAGAATGAGATTAGACTTTCCCGCATTCACATGGTGCCGCGCTACTGGGACTACATTCCGAGGCCTAGAGAGCTTCCACCCGGCATCAACTTTGAGGACTTGGACTACATCAGGATCTCCGAGATCGCTCCGGACGCTGAGAACGGCATGACCTGGGAGAGGATGGTCGAGAATTGGCAAGAAGAGCACTGGGAGAGGAGGACGCCATGGACGGGGTCTTCAAACTTCAGGGTCTTGAGGCGGCCCGAAGCCGGAGTGAGGAGCTCGAGTTCAAGTGGTCCGGGGCAACAACCTCCTGGGAACGGAGGAGGTGGAGAATCGGGATCAAGGCCCTCTGGTTTTACGGGAGGGGATTCCTCGGCGATTGGATCAGGGACATCGGCATCTACCGGAGGTGGTGGCGGTGGCATTGATGGGGCGGCAAACAAGCGGCCTAGGACGCATGGAGAGGAGATGATCTCGCGGCGAGTTGTGGGCGGTTCGAGTCAGAACATGCTGGAGATCATGCGGCGCGCTTTCTTTCAGGACCTTGAGGAGAGCGCGGTGGTCATGTTGTCCCATCCGCCTAAGGGGACACGGGACGAGTGGATTGAGGTGCCCCTTCCTGGCCTTGGAGAGATTGGCATCCAGGTTCACAGGAAGGAGCGCGTGAAGCTCTTCGACACGGAGAAGGAGGGCTACGAGGGAACGAAGCGCACCATTGCCTGGTCCGTTGGAGGAGGGCTGTGGGTGGATCTGTCGCCCCGGAAAGGGCGGCGCGAGAAGTTCGAGAAGGGCAAATGGGTGGGCTACACCATCTTCAAGAAGAGCTGGGGGGTTTGAGCAGGTTCTTTTTCCGGGTGAGACCCTTAAAAGAAGGGGGAGCCCTGATGTTTGAGTTGCGGATGAAATCACTGGGCATGACAGCCCCTTTTTGGCCGAAGAAGGAAAATAGCCTGCAGTTAGTTGAGTGGAAACAACTAAACACCCCCCCCCCCCAAAAAAAAAGAAAAAGAAAGAAAAACGGGTGATTCGCTGGGACCCGTTCCGTGTAAAAGTATTTCCCCCCCGCTGTGAATGGATCTTTCGCCGGGGCCGGGCCGCCGCTCGAGGGCCCCTCGGCCTGAGGAGTCGCAGCGCCTGGCGCCACTCACCCGCCGTGGCGCAGGCGCTGATGGCGCCGCTGGCGCTCACCACGTCCAGCGCCCCCCGCCCGAGCTTCCGCCGCGCCGCCTGGCGGGTGGCGGAGGAGCGGCTTTCCGGAGGGTTCCAGGACCGCCTGCGGTCCATATCCTGGTGCCTTTTTGTTTTGACCCATACACATGTGACTTTCTTGACCAGAACCCCATTTTTTCCCGGTCAAGATGCTTTCGGAAGAGCGCATCTTCGCTTCCATGTAGTTCAGCCGCGTTTCGCTGGCCACGCTGATCACTTCGTTTTGCCTGGAAGAGGCACAGCGCGATCTGCCAGCAGCTCGCTTTGCCGCATGTGCTGATGGCGGCGCTGTAGTTGTAGATGGTCCTGTAAGCAAACCATCCCGTGAAACCCAATCCAAAGCCCAATCCATCTGTAGAATCCTTGGTTGACGTTGGAAGGGGAGCAACTTTGAAAACTTTAGCAGTTCAGTGGGGATTTCCCACTAAACCACAATAGGCAAAAAATGTAAAATGTTTCCCAACAGCAACCATGAATCTCCGTTTGAGGGGCTCTATTTGGGTAATCCAGGGGCTCTATTTGGGTAATCCAGAGGCTCATACCAGGGCTTCTTTAGTTCTGGCGTATTGAACACATTCAGCTGTATGAATGAGAATGCCCTGTGCTCTTCAGCTGTCCGTTCTGGACAAATTGCCAAAACCAAATCCGGGATTGGGCAGCTTGTCTTTCTTTAGTTCTCCCCCCCAACACGGCTGCGGGTTTTCCTTTGGTTTCCCCTTACCAAAAGGGGGTAACAAAAAAGACGCCCCCAAATCAGCGGTTTGGAGTTGGATTTGAACCCCTGGTTCCTGGATCTTGCAAATGGGAAACCCCTCCTTGACCAGCCGGAACCGTTCGACGTTCGGGGAATGGTCCTGGTTTGGAGCATGGACAGTTGGGACCGGGTCACTGGCCAAAACGTCGAACGGTTCCACGTGAACGACAGCTGTGCTTTCAGGGACAAGAAGCGGGTCCGGCCAGGGAACAAGACCACTTGGGATATTGCACAACCTAGAACATGTTCCCAGGCGAAACATTGACACATAGAATGTTGCTTGCGAGAAAAACACTTCCATCAGAAAACATGTTGGGAATCATTCCAGCGACCACAAACTACCTGCGTTGCTTGAGCTGCAAAAGAGATTCACCGCGTGGCTTGGGCAGTCTGACAGGCTTTTGTTACATACAATACACTTCTCGCATTTGATTGTGCAACAAATTAGACTGGGCTCGGGAACGCACACACAAAGAACGGAATGCCCAAATAAAAAACAAACCAAGCGAACAAACAACAACGGAAAGTCCACCCAACAATAGTGGACCACAGGAATGGCAAAAAGCAGAATGGAATTGCAGCCCAAGACTCCCTCCACCCCCCCCAAAACCACCCTACACCACCCACCCTACACCACCCAAAACCACTCGAAAAACACCTAAAACCACCCCAAACCACACAAAAACCAACCGCCCTCCCACCTCCACAAACCCTAAATGCCAACACCCCGCAGGATGCCGAGCTTCGGCTGTGGCACCGCAGCGAAGAGCAGCAAGGCCTCTTGCCAAAGGTTCTGCCGTGCGAGCGCGGTGATGCCTCGGCGGAAAAATCTGCTTGTGGCTGGACAAATCCGGCATGGGTTGGGATGGGAAACCAGGTACCACCCGTGCAAAACGAATCATCCACAGAGACCCCTCGTCTCCAAATAGGAACCCACATGAACCCCCCCCTTTTCCGGCACGTTTTGGGCTGAAACACAAAGAGCAAAGCTATCGGAGCATAGCTCCTCCGGCTTAGCCATTGATCGCTGTTTTTTCTGAAGTGTTCAGAAGAGGTTCTTCGCAGGTCCGCTCAGCATAAACAGAACAAGAGCAAGTCACACACACACTACAAAAGGAAAACACGCATAACACAAAATCTAATAATAATGAGAGGCTAGCAGTTGAATGGGAAAGCGTCTCTGACCAGTCAACGCAATGCACCAGACAAATGCAAGAACGATATTCCGCTGTTCCCAAAGTTGTCATTCTTCGTTCGTGTGCCTTGCTCTTTGTACGACATTCCTTCTCCATATCTTGGGGTCACAAATCTGTCAAACAAACACGTTTCAGGGGCCCCCCAACCGACTCCAAAACATCCAGCAACGTTCAGGATCATTTGGAGTTCATTGGCTTTGGTTTTTTTGGCGTGGGAGGTCTGGGAGAATTCGCTGAATCAAACTTCGCTGGCCAAATGAGTCATAGTCAAAACCCGGTATTAAAATGGTCGACCCAGAACCATGCTTCAAGAACTAAGAAGGCGGCCGCAGCTATTTCTGGTTGGGATTGTCCCTTACTAACCTTCATCTACCCAGGTTTTGATTGTGGCTCTAATTGCATTGGGAAAAGGTGCCAGCAGGTGCTTCCGCGTTGTGCTGGATTTCCAGCACTCAGGTGAGCTCAGGCCTACCTGTCACACAGGAACTGCAGCCAATGCGCCAAGTTGCCCAATGTGTAGGCTTTCATGGCTTCGCGAAGATCATCCTGGTTGACTACATCGCAAGTGAAGCAACAACATCCAACCGCTGAACCCATGCTTCATATTCGTTCATACTGCCTAAGAATAGCTGCAATCTCTTTCACATGCAACAATCTCCTCCATATTCACTACTCTAATAAATCGCGGCGAAGTTTTCAAGCTTTCCAGCTTGTTCCCTTCTATTCTCCAAGTATCTGGGCATCTTCATCCAGAACGGAACCCCGGAACCCCGACAAAATCAGCCCGGACCCGGAAACACCCGGGTTTCACGGTGTTTCACGGAGGTTCTGGAAACCGGGTCACGCGCCAAAGGTGCAGGCGCCTAAATCGTTAGACCGGGGTGGGGTGCTAAACCAAATTAAGTCACAATCATACAAGAAACATGTGCCCCTCATACTGTGGGCAAACGAAACACCCTGCACCACCCTATAACGGGATACACCACCTACCAACTGGTGCAAAATTTTGCCCATCAGTGTAAATTACTTATAGCCCCTCTTATTATGCAGGGCTCCCAAGATATAACAGGGAGGTTCCCCTGTGATGCAAGGGCAAGGGGGAGTATGGGCATGTGTCAGAATAGGGGGACACCTTCGCTGAAATGGTTTCCTTGTTAAACCCACCTCGGTTTTAAGTATACTCTGAAAAAAAAAACCTGGAACCTCAAACCAATCGTTGCCCCCAGTAATCCGCCGACCCCTTTCTCCAAAGGGGAGGCGCATGGGAAGGGCTTGTCTTTGTCCTGGTCTTAGTGATGATTATCATCACCGCTGATGTTGGGTGATGGTTCACAGCATCCGGATCATCATTACCGTGGCGCTCTTCCTTTTTTCATGTACGTTTCAAGTGTGCCGTTAGACCCGACTGGACATGCAGAGGATGCGTTGTCATGATTGTCATGCTGCTGATGCTGGGGATGCATACTGATGACGTGAAATGCTGGTGATGATGAGGATGCGTAGTGATGAGTATCATCAGGATGATAAACATGATGACGAAAATGATGATGATGAAAATGATATCCATGATGATGATGATGCTGATGATCGTGATGGATGAAAATGATGGTGGTGTTCGTCATCATCATGTTCATGTTCATCATCATCATGTTCATCATCATCATCATCATCATCATCATCATCATCATCATCATCATCATCATCATGTTCATCATCATCACCACATCATCGTTTTCATCATCATGTTCCTCATCGTGTTCATCTTTCAAGTGTGCCGTTAGAACTGCTGATGCTGGGGATGCATAGTGATGACGTGAACTGCTGGTGATGCTGAGGATGCGTAGCAATGATTATCATCAGGATGATGCTGATGATGATGATGATGAACATGATGATGAAAATGATGATGAGGATAAACATGATGATGATGAACATGATGGGGATGATGAACATGATGATGATGATGAAGATGATGAACACCATCACTTTCATCATCATGTTCATCATGGACATCAATGATGAACACCACCATCATCAGTTTCATCATCATCATCATCATTTGCATCATCATGTTCTGGCGCTCTTCTTTCGTTACTGGAATGCAAATAAAGCGTTGTCATGACCGGGGATGCATAGTGATGAACATGATGAGGAACATGATGATGAAAATGATGATGATGATGATGATGAACATGATGATGAAAATAATGATGATGATGATGATGATGAACATGATGAGTAAAATGGTGGTGATGATGATGATGATGAACATTATGAACATGATGAACATGATGATGAAAATGATGATGGTGTTCATCCTCATTCATCATACTCATCATCATCTGATTCATCATCATGTTCATCACTGTCATCATCATCATCATCATCATTTTCATCATCATCATCATCTTCATCATCAACATGTTGATCATCATCATCATCATGTTTTCAAATGTGCCGTTAGACCCGAGAAGAAATGCAGAAGATGCGTTGTCATGATTGTCATGATATCTGCTCATTAACTGCTGGTGATGCTGAAGATGCGTAGTGATGATTATGATCAGGATGATGATGAACATGATGATGAAAAATGATGATGAACATGATGATGAAAATGATCCTGATGATGGACATGAAAAACATGATGATCATGATGAACATGATGATGGAAATGATGATGATGATGATGATGATGGAAATGATGATGATGATGATGATGATGATGATGATGATATGGTGGTGTTCATCATCATCCTCATCATAATCATTTTCATCATCATGTTCATCATCATTATCATCATCATCCTCTTTATTCTATACTATACATTTCAAGTGTAGCGTTAGAGAGCATTGGTGATGCAGAGGATGCGTCGTCATGATTATCATCATGACTACTTGTTCATCAGGTTCATCATCATCATCATCATCATCATGTTCATTGAACACACATCACTTTCATCATCATGTTCATGAGTTTCATCATCATGTTCATCATCATCATCATCATTTCCATCTGTTTTTCATGTTCATGTTCATCATTTTCATCATCATGTTCATCATCCATCATCATCATCATCATCATGTTCCTCATCATCATCATCATGTTCATCATCATCATTTGCATCATCATGTTCCTCATCATGTTCAAAACCGTAGCGCTCTTCTTTTTCATATGCGTTTCAGGTGTGCCGTTAGACCCGACTGGAAATGCAGAGGATGCGTTGTCATGACTGCTGCTGATGCTGGGGATGCATAGTGATGACGTCAACTGCTGGGATGATGATGATAATGATGATGAACATGATGAGCATTATCATGAAGATGATGATGATGATGAACATCATTTTCATCATCATGTTAAAATGCTGCTGATGATGATGAACATGATGATGAACATGATGATGAAAATGATGATGAAAATGATGAGGATGGTGAACATGATGATGAACATGATGATGAAAACAATGATGAGCTGCTGATGCTGGGGATGCATATTGAGGACGTAACTGCTGGTGACGCTGAGGATGCGCAGTGATGATTATCAACAGGATGATGATGATGATGATGATGATGATGATGATGAACATCATGATGAACATCATGATGAAAATGATGATGGTGGTGTTCATCATCATCATCATCATCATCATCATCATCATCCTGTTCATCATCATCGCCATCGTCATCATCGTCATGTTCATTCCTAACGGCTTACTTCTCGCGAAGACAAAGCGATGGCACAAAGTCACAAAGTCCACACTTCGCATCCACAGCAATACATCGAAGTCTTGAGAATAAGAAAACAAACAAAAAAGGCCCCCAACATGGGTTTCCTGCCCGAGTTTCCACACACCCGAGACGGAATGCGTCGTCATAATTATCAGAACAACTGCTGGTGATGCTAAAAAATGCAAAGTAACAAATATCATCATAACTGCTGGCGATAATGCAAATGCATAGTATCAGCATCCCTAATGTTGGGAAAAATGCATCATCAAAAACATCATCATTATCGTGCTGCTCTTCTTTGTCATATTGCTTTAAATGCGCCGTGAAACCCGCCAAAAAATGCGTAGTCATAATTGTCATAACAACGTCCCCTGTCAGCAAGCAGGGGCCGGCGGCACAGGGCGGCAGCCCTTAAATAAATACGGCCCGTGCTCCCCCCCTCCAAACAAGAAATATTCTCTGCGCCCTAAACGCTATTCTGGGTTGACTGGACATCCTCTTAAACCAAAGGGACATAACCCATAAGATGGTTAGAGTCAGGCCCAGTTGTAGAATGTATATTTATTGTTTGCTTCACTTTGAGCCACTGGTAAAATGTAAAATGTATCCCAAGTCCACCCCAGATAACTTTGGTGCAACAACCGTTTGAGCGATCGGGCCTCCAAGATGCGCAGCACTCTCTTCGCACCACGCCACGCGGCCTCGGCAAGTTGCTACGCGCCCAAAACCCACTGACTTGTGATTTTCACATGCTTAGTCAGGTGAGGTCCAAATTCCCATATTCTTGGTTGACGTTGGAGGGGGAGCAAAAAAATGAATGTTAGCAGTTAAGTGGGGTTTCCCAACAACAACCATGTATTTACGTTGCTACTGTGGATGGGCGAAATCCATTTCGCACCACTTTGAAACCACGGTTGAAACCATTGTTTGTTGGTATTTGCAGGGCAATCATTATCCCAGGGATTCTTAGGTGGTGCAGGATTTCTTCCATCCACAGTAGACAAGCTACCATACAAGCAGGTACCAGTATCACCTACTCAAATGGACAACTTCGGGCACTCACATGTTCTGGAAATGTCTCCCTACAACCCCAGGGTATACCAAGTCAGATTCCGCTTCATAATTTAGTCAGCCTGACAAAGAAATATTGGAGGAGGGGTCTTTGGTCCCAAAGGACACCTTATGCTTCCCTCAGGTACGGCGTGGATGCGAAATTATTTTGATCCCAAGAGCGCCAAGGATACCCGGAAACATGAAACAGCAGTTGTGTCATCAGTGTGCGTCTTTGCAGGAAGGGGGGGACCCATTTTGGGTTGCCACCATTTTCAAGGCGAACAATGCAATCCACAGACTCCAAGCCGTTGACCTTGAGTGCGCGCACTCAACTGTTCCCACGTCACCGGAGAAAAGGCATGCGCCCGGGCGGCCAACTTTCGGGCGGTGTTCACAAGTGGGTGTGGCTCAAAGGCGGGAATTACCCGCAAAGGCCGTTAGAAAAACACGGTCACCATCATGTAGTGGCTGAGTAATATGTGGTTGTGGGTCAAACATGGGCCAAAATAGAACCCTGGAAAATGGAACCAAGGACTAAAATCTGCGGCTCCCTGGTGGTTCAATTTTGACCCACACCTATGTCATGGGGACAAAGGTGGCCGGCATTTCTTCCAACATTGGTCGAGCCTTGACAGAATCCGGGGAGCGCAAGTGGGTGTCTGGCTTGGAATGTTGAGACCAGACCAAAGCCACTTCGAGCTGCTGCTTATCTTTGGTGAACATGGCCCACGTTGTTTGCTTCCCTC